CGACACCTACGAAGCAGATGAAGAGGAAACCTTTGTGGGGTCTGCTGAGGCCTCCAGCACAAGAAGAAGCAGCTGGGGGGCCCCCGGGGGGCCCCCGGGGGGCCCCGGGGGCCCCCGAACTGGGTTCGGAGAGAAGAGAATATTCTCTTTAGCTCCTTCGGGACTAATTGGAAATGTTGGTGACTGCCATGTTGACCATAAAGGGTATTTTAGAGTTCGAGTTGCTGTTGTTTTGTCTCAGAAAGATCCTGCTGCTGAAAGGCCTTTTGTTTTTGACACTTTCGGGCCTTCAGCAGCAGCAGCAGCAACAGCAGCAGCAGCAGCAGCGCCGGGCGAAGCCGCTGCAGCAGAAGCCGAGGAGTGGGCAGAAGAACCCGAAGGAAGCTTCGTGCAAACGCAAGCAGCAGCAGCAGCAGCAGCAGCAGCAGCAGCAGCAGCAGCAGCAGGAACAGCAGCAGCAGCAGAAAAAGGACCTGCAGCAGCAGCAGCAGCAGCAGCAGCAGGAGCAGGAGGCAGCAGGGATGCAGCAGTTGCTTCCTTTTTGGAAACTGGGGGTTTTGGACTTGGGAAAATATTTAAAAGAAAAGGAGAAGAAGAAGAAGAAGAGGGGCCCCCCGAAGAAGAAGAAGAGCAGCAGCAGCAAAAGAAGCGGGGGGGCCTCTTGCGGCGGCTGCTGCAGCGGAAGGGGAGAGCAGCAGCAGCAGCAGCAGAAGAAGGCGAAGAAGCAGAAGACTTCGGCGAGGAGGAGGCCGCAGAGGGCGAGCAGCAGCAGCAGCAGCAGCAGCAGCAGCAGCAGCAGCAGCGGCGGCGGCGGAAGCTGGGGGCTGGGGTGAAGAAGAAGCTGCAGGCGGCGCTGCGGGCGCCGAAGGCGCTGCTGCTGCGCAGCAGCAGCAGCAGCAGCAGCAGCAGCAGCAGCAGCAAGACGCAGGTGGAACTTTCGCTGGACTTCTCCTCTCCTGCTGCTCCCAAGTGCAGCGCGCCGGCCGTTTGGAAGGGAAAGCTGCGGACTTCTTCTTTTGTTTTCTTTTCTTTCAACTTGAGAGTTTTAGCAGCAGAAGTTTCCAGCAGCAACTTTGCTGCTTTCGTTTCCAGCGCCCTGGCTCTCGAAGTCACTTGCAAAGAAAAAACAGGATGCTTCCTCGAAGACGCCCTCATCTCTTGCGTCCAGGTACCGCAGCAGCAGCAGCAGCAGCAGCAGCAGCAGCAGCAGCAGCAGCAGCAGCAGCGGCAGCGGCAGCGGCAGCGGCGGCGGCAGCGCAGCAGCAGCTGCAGCGGCAGCTGCAGCAGCGGCAGCGCAGCAGCAGCTGCAGCTGCAGCAGCAGCTGCAGCAGCGGCAGCGCAGCAGCAGCTGCAGCTAGGGAGTTCATAGTTTTAGTCTTTTAAAAGCAACTTAATTACACTAATTGTCTTGCTGCTGCTGCTGCTGCTGCTGCTGCTGCTGCTGCTGAGTGAAGCAGCAGAGCCGCGGCGGGCCTCTCCACGTGTCGCTGCTGCTGCTGCTGCTGCAGCAGCCGCAGCAGCAGCAGCTCAGAGGCTGGCCGCGGGACCTTTAGAGTTTTGGAGTTCGTGAGAAGTGCCGACTTGATGCTTGCTGCTGCTGCTGCTGCTGCTGCTGCTGCTGCTGCTGCTGCTCAGGTGTCTTGTCCGAAGAAAGTGCAAGTGCGGGAAGAGCTGCTGCAGCACGTCAACGCGCACAGAGCAGCAGCAAATAAGCAGCTGGAAAAAGTAGCAGCAATACTGCAGCAGCGGGGGGGCCCCGAGAAGCTAAGTAAGGAAGAAAGAGAACAAATAGCAAAAGCTTATGCTGAGCGCGTGCGGCAGCAGCAGCAGGAGCAGCAGCAGCAGCAGCAGCAGCACCAGCTGCTGCTGCAGCAGCAGGTCCACCAGCACCAGCAGCTCGAGCAGCAGAGGCAGCAGCAAATCGCGCTCCAGCAGCAGATCCAGCAGCAGCAGCTGCTGCTGCAGCAGCAGCAGCCAAGACCCGGGGCCCCCGTCGTCGTCTCAGCAGCAGAAGAACCCCCCGAAGAAGAGGAGGAAGAGCAGCAGCAGCAGCAGCAGCAGCAGCAGCAAAAGGAAGAACCCGCGAAGCCCCGCCCCAAAGTCCAGCTGAAGCTCACAGGAGCAGCAGCAACAGCAGCACCAGCAGCAACAGAAGCCCACGGGGTGTACGTACACCTCCTCGCCCTCAACGCCCTCTGGCTCCTCTGGCTCTGGTCATAAATGCAGCAGCAGCAGCAGCAGCAGCAGCAGCAGCAGCAACAGCAGCAGCAGCAGCAACAGCAGCAGCAGCAGCAGCAGCAGCAGCAGCAGCAGCGGCTTGCAGCGCCTCAGCAGCGGCTGCAAACCCTAAACCCTAAACCCTAGCTAGGACGGGCTGGGCTGGCTGGCTGTCAGTGGGGGCCGCCGGGAAGGGCCGGAGTAGATTTAAATGTGGATTTGAAATAAAAAGAATTAAATAAATTAATTTATGAATTTAAATGCAAGAAATAAATAAAAAGATTTATTTATTTAGTTATTTGTGGGTTTCGTTGACGGGAGCTGCTGCGCTGCGCCTGCGGCGCTGCTGCGCGCGCCGCCGCCGGGCGAAGCCGCCCAAATTTTGCGCGAAATGAAGGAGAAATGGATTAAATTAAAGGAATTAAATAAATTAAATTAAATTAAAGAATAAAAGGACTCAAAGAGGAGCCAACGCAGCCGCAACACCGCCGCGCCGCGACAGCAGCGCCGCCGCAGCGTGGGGGCCCCCACGAGCAGCGGGGGGCCCCCGCCGCTGCTGCTGCGGCTCCAAAGCGCGGGTGTTTTCGCTTCTTTTTCGCTTCAAAACTCCAAATAAATCAAACAAAACAAATTCTTTGTTTTAATTTGCTTTTTGCGGCTTCTGGGGGCCCCCGGGGGCCGCCGCGCTGCAGCTGCGGCTTGCGGCGCCGCCGCTGGACCGGGTGTCGTGACACCCGAATTTTTCGCGAAAACGCGGAAAAAACGAAAGATCTCTTCGATCAAAAGAAATAAAAAGAAATAAATAAACAAATATTGCGAAATTAGCGCCAATTGAGGCCAAAAAGGGGCCAATGGCGCTGCGATCGCTCGCCAGTCGCATTTCCCAGCGCCTCTTTGGCCGCCTCCACTTCAGGATTGGCAACAGAACTCAAGTCCGAGTCAATAAGGGTTTCAAGCCGCAGCAGCTCGAGTCCCTCGGTGCTGCAGTCTTCTTCGCGCGGTGAGGGTTTAGGGTTTAGGGTTTAGGGTTTAGGGTTTAGGGTTTACGGTTTACGGTTTGGGGTTTGGGGCTGGGGCGCGGGTTTGGGCGCAGCTGCTGCAGCGGCGCCCGCAGCAGCCGTCGGTCGACGCGCAGAGGCCACCCGCTGCTCTAGGGTTTAGGGTTTAGGGTTTAGGGTTTAGGGTTTAGGGTTTAGGGTTTAGGGTTTAGGGTTTTGCAGGTGGTCAAAGCATCTGCGGGCGGCGACAGTGGGGAATTTCGTGAAGGCGAATATATCGAAGGAGGCTTCTGCAGCAATTCCAAATGGGGGTAAATTAATTCAGGATTTAGGGTTTAGGGTTTAGGGTTTAGGGTTTAGGGTTTAGGGTTTAGGGTTTAGGTGGCTCTTTTTTTTTCTTTTTATCTCCTTTTATTCCCCTTATTTACTTTATCTTTTTCGTTTTTTTTTATTTTCTTTTTCTTCTTCTTTTTCTTTTTAATTTTTCTTTTTGGCTTTTTTTTAATTTCTTTTTTCATTTCTCTTTTTGTTCCCTTTTCTCCTTTTATTTCTTTTTAATTCGTTTTTTTGTTCTTTTTAATTTTATTTCTTTTATTTTTTTATTTTTTTATTTCTTTTTATTTCTTTTTATTTCTTTTTATTTCTTTTTAATTTTTTTAGTTTTCTGCGGTGTCTGTGGATGTGTGTGGGGTGTACGTACAGCCCAAAGGAGATATGCCTTTGCAAATAAAACAAAATAAAATTAAATTAATTCCATTTTAATTCCATTTTAATTCTAATTTAATTCTATTTTAACTCTATTTTCTATTTATATTTTATTTATATTTTAATTATACTTTAAGTCTATTTTATTTCCATTTTATTTATATTTTTATTACATTAATAATTCTATTTTATTCGTATTTTAATTCCATTTTAATTCTTTTTTAATTTTATTTTAATTCTATTTTATTTAGCTTTTGTTTTCTGCTCATTGTGTGGCGTTACGGCGAGCTCCAGCAGCAGCAGCAGCAGCAGCAGCAGCAACAGCAGCAGCAGCAGCAGCAACAACAGCAGCAGCAGCAGCAACAGCAGCAGCAGCAGCAGCAGCAGGAGCAGAGCATCTAAAAAGTTCATTTCTGTTAATTCCATTTCTTTTGACTTTTGCTTCTTTGCACTCCTAACAAACCACTCACAACTCTTTTTCTCTCCTGCTGCCGCTGCTGCTGCTGCTGCTGCTGCTGCTGCTGCTGCTGCTGCTGCTGCTGCTGCTGCAGCTGTGTTTGTGCGGCAAGTGGAGAAGGGCGAATTGACTCCTTCGAAAGAATGCCAAAAAGAACTCGAAAGAATCCTCGGAGTCCAACTCACCAGACACCAACGGCGCTCCAGGCCCAAGCTCTAGCTAGCTAGCTAGCTAGCTAGCAGCTAGCTGGCTAGCTAGCTGGCTAGCTAGCTGGCTAGCCAGCTGGCAGCTAGCTGGCTAGCTGGCTGGCAGCTAGCTGGCTAGCTGGCTGGCAGCTAGCTGGCTAGCTAGCTAAGAGGTGGCTAGCTGCTGCTAGCTAGCTGCTGGCTAGCTGCTAGCTAATCGCTAGCTAGCTGTTATCTAGCTGTCAGGTAGTTGGCCAGCCGTTGGCTAGCTGCTAGCTAGCTGCTAGCTAGCCGCTAGCTAGCTGCTAGCTAGCTGCCAGCCAGCCGTTAACTCATCGCTGGCTAGCTGCTAGCTAGCTAGCTGCTGGCTAGCCACCAGTCAGTTGTTCGCTAGCTGCTAGCTAGCTGCTAGCTAGCTGCCGGCTAGCCAACAGCTAGCTAGCTGTTGGCTAGCTGCTAGCTAGCTGCTAGCTAGCTGCTAGCTAGCTGCTGGCTAGCTGCCAGCTAGCTTCCCCGGAGGCGCCGCGGTGTATGTACAGCAGCAGCAAGGCGCAGCAGGTGAGGGGCACTTGCCACTCCCTTGAGGCCCTTCAATTAATTTAATTAATTTAATTAATTAATTATTTAATTTAATTAATTTAATTAATTTAATTAATTTAATTAATTAACTATTTAATTTAATTAATTAATTAAATTAATTAATTATTTTACTTATTGTTTGATTTGTAGAGCTGTTGGTGTACAGCCCGCCAGGTCGCCGAGGTGTACGTACACCTCAGCTGCAGCAGCAGCAGCAGCAGCAGCAGCTGCTGCTGCTGCTGCTGCTGCTGCTGCTGCTGTAGGTAGCTGGCCCCACACAGCAGAAGTTGATAAATGGGAAATAAAGGGGAGTTTGGAGTTTATTATAAATTCATTTTTGGCATTTTGAGTTTTAATTAAATTCAATTTGCTGCTCCACTTTTTGTGTGTTAGGCTCCCGCGCTCGTTTTGCTGCTGCAGCAGCAAAGTAGCTGCTGCTGCTGCTGCTGCAGCAGCAGCAGCAAAAGAGCCCCGGCGGGCCACACGGGAGGCAGCAGCGGCCCCACACAACAAAGTGCTGCTGCTGTGAGGGGTGTAAAAGCTGCTGCCCCGGGCCTGCTGCAGCAGCTCGCTGCTGCTGCTGCTGCTGCTGCTTCTATCGTATCGGTTTGCTGCTGCAGCAAGGGTTACGCGGGGGTCACTTCGAAGCAGCAGCAGCAGCAGCAGAAGCAGCAACTACTTCCTGCAGCAGCAGCAGCAGCAGCAGCAGCAGCAGCAGCGTTCAGGGCTGTGCAGCAGCGGCGCGAGCTGCTGCTGCTGCGCGTTGCGTGGGTGTTGCTGCTTGTTTAAATTTCCGCGAGCTGCAGCAAACTTTAAAAAGCAATTTAAATTCGAAAAGAGAAAGAAAAGGGTTTAGCGAGCTGCTGCTGCTGCTGCTGCTGCTGCAGCGACGCGCAAAGCAGCGGCGCCCGGCCGCGGGCGCCCCCACAGCGGGGGGGGCCGATCTGCGGGGTTTTTCGCGGTTTTAAATGCCAATTCTTTTAAAATAAAAATAATAATAATAATTATTTCTAAAAAAGCAAAAAAAAGCGGAAAAAACGGGCCGGAAAGGCCGGAACGGGAGCTGCTGCTGCTGCAGTGACTGCGGTGCGGGCGGGGCGCAGCAGCAGCAGGTGCTCCCCCCTAGGTTGGGGTGTATGTACACTGCAGCGCCACCGCGCAGCAGCAGCAGCAGCAGCGGTCTCTCATTATCTCAGACTTGTCATTTTGCTGCTCCCTGCTGCTGCGCCTCTGGCTGTCCCCCGGCGCCGCTGCTGCTGCTGCTGAGCTGCTGCTGCGCGCAGCTGCTGCTGCTGCTGCTGCAGCTTCCTACACTGCAGCGGCGCTGCTGCTGCAGCTGCTGCTGCTGTTGCGTTCAGCAGCAGAACGCAGCAGCAGCATGCGGTGTCGGTACACCCCAGCTCCGTATTTCCGCAATTAATAGCCTTTTCGCTTTCTTTCTTTTTCTCTGCACTTCTTTCTTTCTTTTGCTTCTTTTCTTTTCTTTTTGGATTACTTTTCCATTATTTTGTCTTTTCTTTCTTTTCTTTCTTTCCCTTTTTGTTTTCCGCTGCTTCCGGTGTCTGTCCACCTGCATGCGGCGGGCCCTTGCTGCTGCTGGCTCTCCCGCTGCTGCTGCTGCTGCTGCTGCTGCTTCACCCCCCCCGCGCTGCTGCAGCAGCAAACCTCTCCTCTCAGCAGCAGCTTAGCTTCCCCTCGCCAGCAGCAGCAGCCCCCCGGGGGAGATGAAAGCCCAGGGCGGCGGCAGCGCCCCGGGCGGTCACACTGCAGCAGCAGCAGCAGCAGCAGCAGCAGCAGCGGCAGCAGCAGCAGCAGCGGACCACTGCTGACCATGTCGACTGCGCAGCAGCAAGGGGCTGTTGCCGCTGTAGCGCCGCCGCAGCAACAGCAGTACCAACAACACCAGCAAGAGCAGCAGCTGCTGCTGCAGCAACAGCAGCAACAGCAGCAGCAGCAGCAGCAGCAGCAGCAGCAGCAGCAACTGAACTCCAGCGGTCTCGCACTCCATGCGTCTGCAAACCTTGCAGAAGTAGCAGCAGCTGCTGTTGGCAGCAGTTTCGCTTCACCAGTTTTAGAAGGAGCAGCAGCAGCAGCGCCTGCTGCTGCCACACACAACGTCGGTTCGGTGCAGCAGCAGCAGCAGCAGCAGCAACAGTCTGCTGCTGCTGCTGCTGCTGCTGTATCGCCCCCCAGCAGCATCAGCAGCAGCACGACTTCAACATCTTTTCAACAGCAGCAGGGCGAGGCAGCACCCGATGGGGGGGCCTGCGGCCCTGTGCAGCAGCAGCAGCAGCAGCCGCTGCTGGCTGCAGCAGCAGCAGCAGCACCAGCAGCAGCAGCAGCAGGAGCTGGAGATTCTTGTGGGCTTCTCCCTGCCGCAGCAACAACACATGCGAGTAGCACTGAGGTAGCGCAAAACGGCAGCAGCAGCAGCAGCAGCAGCAGCCCAATGCCAGTTAATCAAGCGGTTTCAACGTTTTCAGAAGCACCAGCAGCAGCAGCAGCAGCAGCAGCAGCTGCTGCTGCTGCTGCTGCTGGTGTTCCGGCAGCAGCGCCGTGCGAGTCTCCGCCTTTGGCGGGCGAGGTTGGCGGCGTCGGCGGGGGAGCAGGAGCTGCTTCCGCCGACAGCAGCAGCAGCAGCAGCAGCAGCAGCAGCAGCAGCAGCAGCAGCAGCAGCAGCAGCAGCAACGTGCCTCCTTTGCTGCTGACGCCGTGCGTGCACTCTTATGACTGCACGAGTGGGGAGCTGCAGCTGCTGGGGGAAGAAGTGGCTTTGCTGCAGCCTTTTTTGCTGCAGCGGCGGTGGCGGGACCGACCCGTTGCTGCAGCCCAGCAGCAGCAGCAGCAGCAGCAGCAGCAGCAGCAGCAGCAGAGCTGCTGCTGGAAGCCCCCGCTGATGCTGCTGTGCTGCCGCCGCCGCCCGCGCAGCGGATTGGAGTCAACGATAAGCCCCTCAGCAGCAGCCAGCGGCGGCTGCTGCTGCAGCACTTGCTGCTGCTGAATGCGCAGCAGCGGCGAGCAGCACTGGAGTTGATTCAGGATGACTTGGGGATTGTTGCTGCTGATGTTGCTGCTGCTCTTTGCTGCAGCAGCAGCAGCAGCAGCAGCAGCTTCAAGCTGGACATCGAGCTGCTCTCGATTGAGCAGCAAAAGAGACTCTTCGCCTACGTCAACAGCATGGCCCGGGCCAACCGGCAGCTGCTGCTGTCCCGCGGTTTGCTGCAGCCTCCTGCTGCTGCTGCTGCTGCTGCTGCTGCTGCTGCAGCGGAGGGCGGGCAGCAGCGCAGGACGCCTGCTGCTGCGGCGGCTGCTGCGGCCGCCGCCCAGAGGGGCAGGAAGAGCCTTGCTGCAGCAGCGAACGCGCAGGGGCCCGAGTCCGACAGCAGCAGCAGCAGCAGCAGCAGCAGCAGCAGCAGCAGCAGCGACGACTCCCTCAGCTCCACCAGCAGCAGCGACTCCGACGAGGAAGACGCGCACCCCCACTTCCGCGCTCCTGCTGCGCCCCCCATCAACCCCCAGCAGCAGCAGCAGCAGCAGCAGCAGCAGCAGCTCCACGCCCAGCAGCAGCAGCAGCAACTCCACACACACACTCCCCAGCCAGCAGCACCCCCGCCCGTTGCTGCTGCTGCTGCTGCTGCTGCTGCTGCTGCGGCTCCCGGGGGCGTGCTGCCCGCCGGCGCCCCGCCGCAGGGCGCCGCCCCCGCTGCTGCTGCAGCCGCGCCCCCCCCAGCAGCAGCAGCAGCAGCAGCAGCAGCAGCAGCAGCAGGGCCTTTGCTGCAGAAGGGACTGCCGGAATATAAACCCGTTGCTGAAGATGGAGAAAAAGTTCAAATCCGAGAAGAACTTATGGGCCGCCACGCGGACTTCCTGGGGGTCATCGACGCGCAGCAAACCGACGAAGGCGTTGTAAGGGTTTAGGGTTTAGGGTTTAGGGTTTAGGGTTTAGGGTTTGGGGTTTAGGGTTTGGGGTTTGGGGTTTAGAGAGGTGCAGAGGCGAGGGTGGGGGAGGGAACTGTCTGCGGCTCTCGCTGCCGCGCTGCTAACTGCGTGCTGCTGCTGCGTTTGCTGCTGCTGCGTTTGCTGCTGCTGCTGCTGCTGCTGCTGCTGCTGCTGCAGGCTGCGGGGCCGCAAGAGCCGAAGGCGACGGCGTGGCAGGAGTGGAAGGGCCAAGTTATACAGCAGGGTTTTGCTGCTGAGAGAGCAGCAGCAGCGCCGCAGCGGACGGCCAGTGAGATCATAGCTGAGGGCTACGACGCGAGGATTTGAGCAGCAGCAGCAGCAGCAGCAGCAGCAGCAGCAGCAGCAGCAGCGGGAGGGGAGGCGGCGGCTGGAGGGAGCTGCGGCTGCTGCAGCTCCTTGACTTCTTGGCGTTCCGCCTTGCAGCAGCAGCTGCTGCAGCAGGTGCTGCTGCTGCTGCTGCTGCTGTTCTGCAGCAGGTGCTGCTGCTGCTGCTGCTGCTGTTCTGCAGCAGGAGATCCAGCTGCTGCAGCAGCGGTCGCTGCTGCTGCTGCTGCTGCCAGGCAGAGAGTGGTGGCGGCTCAAGAAGCGGCCTGAAGCAGCAGCAACGACGGCAGCGAAACGGCGCTGTGCTGAGGGACCTCGCTGCTGCTGCTGCTGCAGCTGCTGCTGCAGCTGCTGCTGCAGCTGCTGCTGCTTTTGGTGGCTGCTGCGCAGGCACAGCAGCAGCAACGCCGCGGCCGCAGCTTGCTCGCGCCCGGTGCAGTCATTTGATTTATTTCGAGATTTATTTATTCCAAAATGATTTATTTGGAGGTTTTTCAACTTGCAAGTTTATTATTATTTGGAAGTTTATTTAAATGCGCAAAAACGAAAAAAATCCGCTTTGCTGCTGCCGCGGGGTGTATATACACCTGGCTGAGCTGGACGTACACCTGAGGTGCATATACACCTCAGGTGTACGTACAGCTCAGCCTGCACTTGAACGAGCCACAAATCTCCGCCATTTCAGTTAATTAAACATTTAAAAAGTTCCATTTAATTAAAATATGAAGTTTTATTTCAATTTAACTTATTTTATTGTTTATTTAGAGACGCAGCAGACACAGGAAGCTGCAGATGCTGCTGCAGCAGCTGCAGCGGGAAACATTGCTGCAGCAAGAAGCTCCTGTTAAAGGCAGCAGCAGACACAAAGGGCCTTTAAAGATACATTTAAAGGCCTTTAATTATTTATTTCAAATATAAAACAATATTATAGAATAATTTATTTACTTTTGTCTTATTTGCATGTCTAGCTGCTGCTGTTCTGCTGCTTGCTGCAGCAGCAGAGCAGCAGCAGGACCTTACGCTGCTGCGCCCAAGGCCTTTTTGCTGCAGCGCAGCAGCAGCAGCTGCCGCGCTGCAGCAACGGGGTTGCTGTTGCTGCAGCAACGGGATGTGTGACTTGCTGCTGCATGCGCTGGGGCAGCAATGCTGCTGCGGCAGAAGCCAGCAGCAGCTGCTGCTGTCTACGAGCTGCTGCTGCTGCTGCTGCTGCTGCTGCTTAGCAGCAGAGAGCTGCCGCATCTGCTGCTGCCCAGCGGGGCCCTCAGCTGGCAGCTGCTGCAAATTTGACTGAGTTTAAGTAGATTAGAGCAGCAACAGCAGCAACAGCAGCAACAGCAGCAGCAGCAGCGCCTTTGTCCTCCCCACATGCAGCTCTGTTTTGCTGCTGCTGTGGTGCTGCAGCAGCTTGCTGCTGCAGGATAAAGGCTCCAGAAAAAGCAGCAGCAGCAGCAGCAGCAGCAGTTCTGGCGGTTTGATTGTGGCTGGGGCCTTTAGAAGCAGCATAAAAGCAGCAGCAGCAGCAGCAGCAGCAGCAGCTCGAAGACTCCGCGGCTCTTTTCGCGTGGAGCTATAGAGCACGTAAAGCCGCTGCAGCTTCCTATCTCATTGCCAGTTGCTGCTAAGCTGCTGCTGCTGCTGCTGCTGCTGCTGCTGCTGCTGCTGCTCGTCTCATGAGAACTGGCCATTTCACTTACTAGTAAGGGCTATGAAGTCCAAACCCTTTGCGCTGGGAGCAGCTGCTAAAACCCCAGGGTTTCCTTCAGTCTGAGGCCAGGGTTTAGGGTTTAGGGTTTAGGGTTTAGGGTTTGCTGCGTGATGCGCCGCACACTCGAATTTGCAGTTTGTTCACTGCCACTTTGAAATGAAATAAATTAAAAATTAAAATTTGTGAAATTAAAAAACTGATTTTAAAAAGAAGCAAATCAAATTGAGTTGAGTTTGCTGCTGCTGCGCTGCTGTGTGCTGCGCTGCAGCAAGCAGCAGCGACTGCAGGCGCCTTTGCATTTGTCGATTTCGAGGGCTTTTTGAACGCTTTTAAGCGCCAAAAGAATTAAAATGAATTTAAAATTTAAATATTTGAATAATTGAAAAAGAAACTCCGCGAGAAAGTAGCAGAAAGCAGGCTTTTCCGCACAAAGCCCCGTTTCTTGAATTTCAGCTTTCCCGCAGCCGCTCCTTCTGCAAAAAGCCAAAATGGCCCGTTTTGGACTTAAATTCGAAATTTTAAAACCAAAAATGTTTAATTTTATTTATTTAAAACTTTATTTCTCCCGAAAGTCGCATTTAAAACTTTTTTTCCCCCGAAAGTCGCATTTAAACGACAAATTCCCGCTGGAGCAAAAGCCGCGAAGTTTCAATTCAAGTTTGTGTGCCCGAAACTTCTCAGGTGTCCGCGAGAAAATTCAGCTTTCTTTTGCTTTTAAATTAATTTAATTAATTAATTAATTAATTTATTTATTTATTTATTCACTTTAATTAATTCAATTAATTCGAATATTCCAGTGGATTCAATTCGAAGTGAGCAGCCAAGAGCTCCTGCTCTTTCTACCTAGTTCAGAAACAACCGCGAGCACTTGCTTCTGGGAAAGCAGCCATTAATTTGTTTTTATTTTTTAATTTTAATTTTTATTTTATTAAAAAAATAAAAATAAACAAAAAGGGTTTTCCATTCTTTTGAAAGAAGCGCAGGTGCCCCGAAACAGTTGAATTCGGAAGCCTTCAGCTGCAGCAGCAGCTGCTGCTGCTGCTTACATTCAGCTGCTGCTGCTAGTCTCGAGTTGCTGCTGCTAATCTTCAGATGCTGCTGCTAGCCTTTTGCTGCTGCTGCTGCTAGCGTTTTGCTGCTGCTGCTAGCCTTTAGTTCCTGCTGCTAGCGTTTTGCTGCTGCTGCTAGCCATTAGTTACTGCTGCTAATCTTTAGCTGCTGCTGGTAGCTTTTAGCTGCTGCTGCTAGACTCTAACTGCTGCTGCTATCTTTCAGCTGCTGCTGCTAACTTTTGGCTGCTGCTGCTGGCCGTTTGCTGCTGCTGCTAGCTTTTAGCTGCTGCTGCTAACCTGCTACAGCACTTTTGTGCTGGGGCCGCGTCTCAGCCATAAACCCCAAGGCCCAAACCCTAAACCCTAAACCCTAAACCCTAAACCCTAAACCCTGGAAGCAAAAGACAGGCTCTCCTGCAGCAGCAAAACGAGCAGAAGGGCTCGATGAAATCTTTAAAAAAAAAAAATAAAAATTTATTTGAAGTAAAATAAAAAATAAAAACTTAATTGTTTGTAGGTAATGGACTTTCCGGACTTTTGAATTCAAATTTAAATATAAATAAATACTTTTAAATTTAAGTTGTTCATTTATTTAAATGATCTTTAATTTAATATTTTTAATTTATTTTAAATTAATTGTAGGGGGGCCCCCCTCGGCTTCTTCCCCCAAGACTGCGGCCCCCAGAGTGGGCCCAAAAAGGGTACAGGGGCCCCCTTGGGGGCCCCTCCAGGGTCCCTTGGGGGCCCCTTGGGGCCCCCTGCGGGCCCCCAAAAAGGCCCCAGGGGGCCCCTCTTTGGGGCCCCTCTTAGGGGCCCTTTCTGGGGGCCCCTGGGGCCCCTGTTGGGCCAGGGGCCCCCGCCATATATTCTGGGGGGCCCCCCGGGGGCCCCCCGGGGCCCCAGGGGGCCCCCAGGGGCCTCACAGGGGGCCCCTGGAAGGCCTTGGAGGCCTTCGCAGCGCAGGTGGAGAATTCGCAATGGAGGAAAAGAAGAGCGGATTATTTTAAGGAATAAATTTAAGAATTTAATAAATAAAATAAATAAAATAAATAAAATAAATAAAATAAATAAAATAAATAAAATAAATGAAATAAATAAATGAATTTGAATGGAGAGTTGCGGCGAGATCTGGTGCTGCGTGAGGCGGTGTGCGTGGTGGCGGGCATCAGTGGCCGCGGCTTGGGGGTCTGGCGAGAGCTTTTTGTTTCTTCGCCCTTAAATGGTCTTTTTTGGAGAATTAAAATTAATTTTTGGAATTAATTTTGTTTTAAATTTATAATTGGGGCTTTGTTTCGCGTTTTCTGCGCAGCAGGCCGGGCGCAGCGGCGGCGGCGAGGCGCTGCTGCTGCGGCGCGAAGATCGCAGCCGCCCGCAGCTCCCCGGCCGCCGTTTCGAAGCGGCTTTCGCGTTAATTGGCTTTTTCTTTTTGCAAACAGCGAAATAAAACATTTAAATGAAGATGGGAGGAGAAAAGGGGGCAAATGGGCGCGAGTTGGGCGGCGCGGGTGGCCGGGGCGGCGGCGGACCGCCGGCGGCGGCACTCGAGAATCCGTGCACGCCGCGAAGCCGGAAAAACGCGCTCCGGCCCTCTAATTGAAGCAAATGTCTTTTTAAATTTGTTTTAAAAATAAAAAAAGGAAAAATTTGGGGTTTGGAAGGCCCAGGACACTCGAAAAGGCGCGGCGGCTCAGACGGCGGCGGTGGTGCTCGGGGGGGCGGCGGCCGCCGGGAGGGCCGGCCAGCAGCTCCGCGCGGGCTGAAACTGCGGATTTTTGTTTCTTTTTTTTCTTTTTTAAATTCCGTTGAGTTTATTTTGGAGTTTTGCGTTTATTTGGCGTTGAACGCGGCGAAAAGGAGGCCCGCGGCCGCGCAGCAGCAGCAGCAGCAGCAGCAGCAGCAGCTGTCCCACGCCGGCGAGTCCTCCGCGCTCCCCGCCAGCCGCGCCTTCCCCCTTTTCTCCTTCTTTTCTCTCTTTTCTTTCTTTCTTTTGCATTTTAAAAAGAAATATTTAACAAATTTGGTGCCTTTGGAGGGTCGAAGGGCGCAGAGGTTCCCGCGGCCGCGCGCTGCAGCCTCGGAAGGCCCCCCAGTCGCAGTGTGTAGCAGCAGCAAGCTGCTGCTGCTGCTGCTGCTGCTGCAGCAGATCTTTTCTTTCTCTTCTTTCCTTTTTTCTTTTTCTTTTCTTTATTTCCTTTTCAAACATGCAGCCCCCAAAAGGCCCCTCGCAGCAGCACAGCCTCGCGCCCCTCACAATCGACCACTGAGTCTTGCCGCTGCTGCTGCTGCTGCCGCTGCTGCTGCTGCTGCTGCTGCTGCTGCTGCTTGAGGCCCTGCAGCAGCTCGCCTTCTTTCTCGCGGTCTCTTCTTTGAGTCTGCTGCGGGCTGCTGCTCCAGCCCTTCCGCGTTTCACCGCTTCGCCCCCGCAAACCCTAAACCCTAAACCCTAGCGAGGGTTTAGGGTTTGCTTCTGAGGCCCAGGGGGCCCCAGCTGCCGGTGCTGCGGGAGAAACCCCCAGCAGCAGCTTCAGGGGCCCCCAGTCCTTATAGAGAGCATGCTTGTCTTTGTTGCTGCTGCTGCAGCGCCCTTGCCTCTCTATTTGCTGCTGCCAGTGCCTGAGCAGCAGCAGCAGCAGCAGCAGCAGCGGCAGCAGCAGCAGCTGTCGGGGCAGTAGCGGTGGCTCCTCCGGGGCCATTGAGCTGCTGCTGGGGACTAAGGCATACGAGGAAGCTGCTGCTGCTGCTGCTGCAGCCGGGAGAAGGCTGCAGCAGCTGCTGCAGCGCCAGCAACAGCAGCAGCAGCAGCAGCAGCAGCAGCAGCAAGAGAGCTGCAGTCGGTAGACACAGTTGGTGGTAGAGTTTGCTGCGGGCCGACGGACTGCGCCAATGCTGGAGCCGCAGCAGCAGCAGCAGCAGCAAGTGCAGCAGCTGCAGCAGCAGCTGCAGCAGCACCTGGAGGCCTCGGGGCTCTCTGAGTTGCTGCTCTCAGGATGGAGACCTGAGCAGCAAACTGCAGCAAGCAAGAGAGCTGCAGTCGGTAGACACAGTTGGTGGTAGAGTTTGCTGCGGGCCGACGGACTGCGCCAATGCTGGAGCCGCAGCAGCAGCAGCAGCAGCAAGTGCAGCAGCTGCAGCAGCAGCTGCAGCAGCACCTGGAGGCCTCGGGGCTCTCTGAGTTGCTGCTCTCAGGATGGAGACCTGAGCAGCAAACTGCAGCAGCAGAAGGGGGCCCCCCGGAGGCTGGGAGCTGCCTGGGGCCCCAATATGGGTCTGGCAGCAGCAGCAGCAGCAGCAGCATTATGTCGGTGAAGCGCGGGGTCACTGCAGCAGCAGCAGCAGCAGCAGCAGCAGCAGCAGCTTCGGGGGGAGCAGCTCCCCTCTTCACGCGCCTCGCCAGAGGAGACCCGCGGGCTTTGCTTCGTGCTGCAGCAGCAGCAGACGCGCTGTCTTGTTTTGCTGCTCCCAAAGCCTCTGCTGCAGCTTCCCGGGGCCCCCCGGGGGCCCCCCTGGAGGGTCCTGGGGGCCCCCTGGGGGCCCCCCCGGAGGGGCCCCCGGGGGAAAAGAAGCTGCCGCGTGTGCCCATGGGGCCCCCCGCGGTCCCTTCCGGGGGCCCCCCGGGGGGCCCCCCGGGGGCCCCCCCCTGTCCCCCGGGCCCCCCCGAGGGCCTCCCGGGGGCCCCCCCAGGGGGGCCCCC